GAAGGACAGCAGACCGGAAACTAGGGACAGGACAGAGAAGGAGCACCCTCTGGCTGCAGAGGGCGTGACACACAGCTGTAGAGCCCAAACACCCCCTTCTGGGCTCAGAGTGATTATTCCTTTCCTGCTGATGGACTGTTTGGCCAAACCCAAAATCCAGTAAGTGTTGTATCCTACCTCCACATCCCAGCAGTGTCTCCCTGAGGTGAACCCCTCAGATCCCAGTAACAGTGATCAAACCTCTCTGGGTTGTTAGGAAGCTGCTCTCTCACAGCTCTGCATCTCACACTGTTCAGATCATCAGACAGTGAGAGTCAAGGTTCTGCTTTGTTGAGGTCCAGAGTCACAGGAGCTGAAAGGAAATACAAATAACAAGAAATATCCCACAGGCTAAAAAAACAATTATATATTAAATATTAAATATAGTTATTAAGGCTTTTTTTAATTTATTAAGACTTATTTACATGTGATTACATTTATACCTTATTCAAAGTGTAACTTCCAAATAAATGAACCAGTAAAAGCAACATGGAAATAAATAAAGAAAAGATTAGTGGAGATTGGAGCTGTACAAACAGAAACATAAGAACATTTTTAGAATAAAGTAATCGCATCTAAGGAAGCACATTGTTGTTGTTAAGGAAAAACAATATACATGCGTATCTCAAAATTATGAGAAAATCATCTAATTATTCCAAGATAGTATTTTTTTGCATTAGTACAAGATACAAATAATCACTTGTGTATGAACAATCTATCACAATGACAGCACAGTCATTACAGATTTGAGGACACTCACAAGAAGATCATTTCACTGCATAAAACTGAAAATCAACTAATGATAATATAGGTATTGTATGACAATTGTGCTATCTTGTGATTATCATATACAGTATACAGTACATGTAATTATGAGATAGTAAATCTCATAAGATAAAATCTGGCAATAACAAGTTAATTTTCTCACAATATTTGTTTTCTTTGATGGCAGCAATGGGCTTCCTTACTTTTTTGAGTGTAAAGGTTTAAGAACTTAAATGCAAAGAAATAAGGATTCTAATATTAAACCTTTTCATTGCACCTGAGCATATGTGTGTGTTGGTGATTTTTATTGAACAATCTGACAAGCATCATTTTGATGAGAATTAAGTGAGGTGAATGCATAAGATATCAAGCCTATTAAATGAAGCCCTTATCATACATTGTCTCAAGTGTATGATATTACAGAGGAGGATGACTGCAGTAATGTGTTGTGGTATCAGTATATTAAAAATCAAGGAATAAAAGACTGAATCTCAAAAAAGAGGCAGGGAAACACAACACTGGAGAACACAATCAAGCTGGCGATGCATGAGCAAGCATCTAAATAGTCAGGACACTACAAACACACTGTCAGGAGAGATTCACTAGGACAAACTAGCCATGTAGTGACTCCTGTAAAGCAAACTGGAGATCAGTCACTTCACTCCAGGGCTCTTACACAGACAGTCACACTCTCACTGCTTCTATGTGATTGACTGCAGAATTCTCAATGTTCCTCCAGTACTATGAAAGCCTGCAAATCCTTCCCCCTTGTACTCACTGTACTGAACAATCGCCAGCATCTTCTCCCAGACTCTGTACTTCAGAGAGCCCAAGTGCTTGGCAACATCTATCAGTGCAAAGGAACAAGTAATAAAAAAAGAAGAAAGAGAACACAACGTTTCGGCCGTGGAGCCTTCTTCAGGTTCTTCAAGGCTCCACGGCCGAAACGTTGTGTTCTCTTTCTTCTTTTTTTCAGCATGGAATAAACCTATTACTTGTTCCTTTGCAGCCTACGCATGCTGACGCAGCTACCCACCTGAACTACAACATCTATCAGTGCTCCTGAACCCCCCTCTGGATCCTGCAATGTGCGCTGGGCTCTGCAATAACATTCAGAAGTCGGTGCTGTTGTGGGTTTGGACCCATATGCACAGCACAGTACAATAGACGACAAGAAGACAGTCTGGAGTTTACATACCGTACCTGCTCTTTGTGACCATGTTGTTCTGAAAAAAAAATAATGTGAAAAATTGATCATTGAAAATAGAGAGTCATCTTTACCTGCAGGAATAAAATGTCTTCAGCTCCCATTTCCTGTTCTATGGCTCTGATTGTGTCTGTAAGGGATGAAATCTCTCTTGTAAGGCTCTCAATCTTCTCCTTCATCATTCGACTCTTCTGTTCTTCTTTCTTCCTCAGTGCAGCTATGCTGGTGGCCTCTTCTGCTTGTAAAAACTGGTGAAGCTTCTAAAACTCATCCTTTATCTGCTTCTCTGTCTGCTGAGCCTGTGTCTGAAATTTAAAAAGTGTAACAATCAAGAATAAAACGATATAATACTATCATGATGGAGTTTCCTCACACCTTCAGGAATGCTGGATTACTTTGAATTCATAATGCTCATCAAGTGATAACACTTAATTGGTAATTTAACCTGAGCTGGTTGCAATGTATTTCAATATTTTAAATTTTATAACTCAATCTATTATTTTTAAACCACATAACTGTATGAGTACCTTAATGTACGCTGCAATTTGATCACATGTCTGTTTTACTTTGTTAAAGAGTATTATCTTCTTCTGCAGGAGCTTCAGTGCAGCCTTGAGTTCCTCCTGGAATGAGATGACAGTCCACACTTCACTGTACTGTAGGAACTACTGACAGCAGGTTTTACTGCCCAGACGAATCATACAAGAAAGCAACTGAACAGGTTGACAGTAACCAGAGTTCACACTTTACTGGAGAAACACACTCTCTTTTCACTTACCTCTGCAGGGATCAGATTTTTCTATTGATTCTACAAGACCCCTACATCTTAAACTATTATTGTCAGTGATGAAGCAAGAAATACAGTGTTATTTGCGTAGGCTCTACTGTCAATTGTATAGTGTTTTTCTTGGCACATTTTAAGATTTTAAATCGTCCTAAAATAAACTAACACAGTTTGTTATATACATTGACAAAAACATCTTCTTAATAACATTGTTTTTCTTTATAAATAAATAGTTTTCAAACCTTCTGCCTCTCTGCTGCCTCCTCCAAAGGGCAGAATTTGTGGTTTTCATGTTTTTCTGAAGTCTGACAAACAAAGCAGACAGCTTCTTGATCAGTCAAACAGAAGACCTTGAGTTTCTCTCTGTGCAGCCTGCACAGCTCTTCAGACCCGACTGGAGGTCTCCGGCTCCTCTCCTGTGAGAAGACCTCACACAGTTTCTTTAGAGTCAGACTGATGGGAGGGTGGTCGAGTGAAGAACGTCTGCAGACTGGACATTCCTGAAAGCCCTCCTGTTCCCAGTGCTGCTGCAGACAGGATTTGCAGAAGCTGTGTCTACATGACAGAATAACTGGTTCCTGGAAGATCTCACAGCACACAGGACAGGAGAGCTCCTTTTCAAGGACAGAACTTCCTTCCATTTTTCACAGACTTACAGCCTGACAACTTTTCTTTTAACCTTTTTTCTCAGCAATATCTTTTTCTCACTGCTTCACCAGTACATGTAGATTAACTTAATTTTATCTGATTATAACACATTAATATATTTCATGTGAAAAGACATTTGTTCCTGACTCTAGCAAAAATGTCCACAGAAAGCACAACACAGATGATGTTTCTTGATTACGATCTTCAAGTGGTTCCAGCACTCACATTGCCTGACTATTACATTGTCTCATCAAGAAATGATACAGTCTGACAATGTTCCTGAGAATGTTTCCAAAGAAGGAAAGATGATACTGGAATGACACAAAAATGTTGTCAAACTCGTACTTGTTCTGCAATGACAGGGTGAATCAGAAAGTGCAAATGAACTAGAAAATGTATATTTTGGTTTTGAATTAAAGTTGCAATTCTGCATGCCATGATATAGATATGGAACACGAATGCTGATTTTTTAGAAAAACAATCCCTGAGTCAGTGCGCAGTCACTGGAGGGGCTCAACCACACCCTGAAGTCAAATGTTTACATAAGATAACAACATTGTTTTATTACACTCCACAAACTATTGCACATGCAAGTTATAAAATATGTTTTCACAGCAATTAAACTGTTTTTAATAAACTAACACATTAGTAAGGTTGTACTAACCACAGGAAAAAATATTTGTACAGCACAATGCCAATTTATTCAGTTTCTGCCAGCAAAATGTAGACCTCCTACACACCAGTCACCAATCCAAGTCAGCAACAGGTTCTCTGTTCTCTGCAGTGCCTCTGTCAATGCAGATAAGGTGTTTATAATTGGTGACTCGATAATCAGGAATGTTAGAATTCCTAACTGTCATAAAGCAGTGGTTTCCGTAAAATGCCCCACTGGGGCCAGAGTCTCTGACGTTGAGGTGAAACTACATACATTTTCCAGCAATGAAGCCTCCACCTTGGTTGTTCACTTTAGGACTAATGATATAAAGTACCAACAATCTGAGGTATTAAAGAGTAACTTAATTTCTATGTGCACAAGGGCACAAAAAAAATGTTGGAATTTAATTTTGTCTGGTCTTTTACCAATCCTTCACAGGCTATACTCCCTAAACCACTGGTTAAAGACTTGGTGTGCATCCAATAGAATAACCTTTATTAATAATTGGGATGTTTTTTGGGAATGGCCTGGCTTTTATAAATGGGACGGTAATTAATTCTATCCCAAAATATAGCAGACAAATTGCTTGCCCGACTACTAAGAGCATCACCCAGGCCTCAGCCTGGCGATCTTAAATCACATGCTGTCTCTATTCCCAACTTTAGTTCACCTCTTGCACCGACCATGGTTCTCTACTATACGGCATCCCATAAATCACATAACTATTCAGAACCAGAAATTATTATGAATAGACAGAGTAAGCAACTATCACTAGACCTAGACTAGAATTCAGATGTTCCTTTAGGGACTCTTATCCTGATAACTGAATCTCCATTCCACTGATAAGCTTAAATCAACTACAACATGTACTGTAACTACCATAAAATGCTTACTGTTAAATGTTCACTCATTAGGCAACAAACCAGTTCTCCTTCATAATATGGTGTCTGACACCAACTCTGACCTGCGCTTACTAACAGAAACCTGGCTTAGACCTTCTGACACTATTCCTTTAGTTGAAGCCTCACCTAATGGCTATACTTTTTTACAGAAAGCTCATCGCTCAGAACGTGGAGGTGGCTAAGAAAGCCATCTTCAAGAGTCTCTAAAAATTGAATTAAAAACTATAAATGACTTTCACACATTTGAAGCAAAGCTTCTTAAAATAGCATCCAAATCATTCACATATATTCTTTTAGTATACAGACCCCCCAGGACCATATGCATTGTTTCTAGCTGAATTTGGTGAACTGCTCTCTGACTTAGTTATTAATTTTGACAAAGTAGTAATATTAGGTGACTTTAACATACATATCAACATAGAGACATACAGTATGTTTTCAGTAAAAACTTCTTGTCCCTCCTTACCTCCATAGGTTGTAGTCAGCATATAACAGGGCCAAAACACGTGTACCATCATACCCTAGACTTAATTATCACTCATAGAGCTGATATTCATCATATACTGTATTAGTCCATCCCATGGATCACTCTGACTACTTTTTAATTAGTTTTGAGATTTGACTACCCTCTGTAGTTGCCAAGGAGAAGATTATTATGACACAGCACACCAGTAGGGGTACTTATTTAAAATTGATGAACGCCATGAATAATGCTAACTTCATCTCCAGTACTAATTTTGATGAAATCACACATAACTATAATAGTGGTCAGACAGTCGCTCGATGAAGTAGCCCTGTTAAAGACTAAGGTAGTCAAAACCACAAGACACTCTCCATTGTTTAATGATCACACAATCTCTTAAACAGGAGTGCCACAAACTAGAGCACAAATGGAAGTCTACTTCTTGAGGAGGCTAAGGTCCTTCAATTTGTGTAGTAAGATGCTACATATGTTCTATCATTCAGTGGTAGCAAGTGCCATTTTCTACGCAGTGGTGTGCTGGGGCTCTGGGATTAGAGCAGTGGATTCCAAAAGGCTGAACAAGTTCATCAGGAGAGCGAGCTCTGTCATTGGGTCTGACCTGGACCCCTTGGAGGTAGTGGCTAAGAGGAGAATGGTGTCCAAACTAGAGGCCATCATGGAAAACATCTCCCATCCCCTCTATGACAGGCTTGCAGAAATGAAGAGCACGTTCAGCAATAGACTCATTCATCCACGGTGCGACAGAGAGCGCTACAGGAGGTAATTCTTGCCTTCTGCCATAAGACTGTACAACGCATCCACCTTGCGTCTGGGCAGAGGCAACATTGACAGTGACCTGTTTCTGGACTGAACGCATCTACACATCTACTGCTACATCTGTTCTCTTTCTTTTTCTTTTCCCGTTTACATCTGTTTTTTGTGCAATATATGCCAGGGACCTGTGCAATACATTTACATCTATATTTACATCTATATTTATATTCATATGTGTGATACGATTTTTCTGTGTACTGTTCTGTTCTAGTCTGTTCTTTGTGTGTCCGGACTGTGAGTAACTCTTGTATTGTATTGTATGTATTGTACTATTATTATATAATTTGTTACACTGTGGCTGTGTTGTCTGTGTTAAGCTGCTGTTGCACTGCAATTTCCCTAATGGGATCAATAAAGTATCTATCTATCAATAAAAATAACCCTCACTACCTATTTAGGACAATAGCTAATCTAACAGATAAGGCAGATTCAGCAGTATCAGCTAACTTTAGTAGTGACATTTTCATGGACTCTTCAACAATAAAATTAACAACATCAGACTTCAAACACAAACAAACAGGCCGCAAAGAAGTCTGGTACATAAACAATGTGCGTACCTTTTCAGTAGTAGTTCAGGTGGGTAGCTGCGTCAGCATGCGTAGGCTGCAAAGGAACACCTGAAGAAGGCTCCACAGCCGAAACGTGTTCCTTTCTTCTTTTTTCAGCATGGAATAAACCTATTACTTGTACCTTTTCAGTGTTTTTCAATTAGTTAATGAAAAAGAACTACTGAAATAAATTATTAAAATCAACAACTTGGCCGCTAGATCCCATCCCCACCCAACTAGTTAAAGATTCCCTAGAAGTACTGGTGGAACCAATAATTAACATGATGAACACATCCTTTGCATCAGGCGTTGGTACCTGACCAATTTAAGGTAGCGGTTGTTAGACCACTGCTTAAGAAATCAAATTTGGATCCACAAGTTCTTAACAACTACAGACCTGTCTCAAATGTACCATTTCTATCTAAAATTCTTGAGAGAATAATAATGATAATAATTGCTTACACTTATATAGCGCTTTTCTAGACACTTTACAGGTAATGGGGACTCCCCTCCACCACCACCAATGTGCAGCATCCACCTGGATGATTCAACGACAGCCAAAGTGCACCAGAACGCTCACCACACATCAGCTATCAGTGGGTAGGAGAGCAGAGGAATGAAGCCAATTCATAGATGGGGATTATTAGGAGGCCATGATTGATAAAGAGTGATGGGAAATTTGGCCAGGACGCCAGGGTACACCCCTACTCTTTTCGAGAAACACCCTGGGATTTTTAATAACCACAGACCTTGGTTTTACGTCTCCTCCGAAGGACGGCGCCTGTTTACAGTATAGTGTCCCCGTCACTATACTGGGGCATTAGGACCCACATGGGCTGCAGGGTGAGTGCCCCCTGCTGGCCCCACTAACACCTCTTCTAGTAGCAACCTTAGTTTTTCCCAGGAGGTCTCCCATCCAGGTACTGACCAGGCTCACACCTGCTTAGCTTCAGTGGGTTGCCAGCTGTGAGTTGCAGGGTGATATGGCTAATATTGGTAATATTGTCATTAGTGATAAACTTTCATCTGAACGTCAGAAAAGCCACAAATAAGAGATGTCAATTCAGCCCATTTGAGTTAGAACATGTACTTGAACTGGGAGCAAACCACTAACAAGTATAAGATTCTGTGAACCTCTTCCCGTAAAAGCATAGTTTTATAAACATTTACGGATAAGAAATTTTAAAATGCAACAGAACTGACTATACAGTATAATCTGATAGCAATGTAACTTATATATGATAGCATCATATAGCAAAAGGTTAAGCATTTGCAAGTAAAATTATTGCAATGGTAATTTATTTTTATCCTAAGCCATTTTCCAGGCACACGTCACTGTAACAGGCCAGCTGGATCTGAAGTGTTAAATAAGAGCCTCCAGAGGGATACAGGGGTAGAGCATATAGTATAATGATCAAGTATGCACAAGGATAGCAGGAAATTGGTGTCAGCTGTGTGTGAACTTAGTATTCTCTATTTAAGGTTCTGGTGAGTGAGCAGTCCTAGTCAGGTCAGATTTGGTTTGGACCCTCACTGTCAGGGAGGCACTGAGAAACTTTCCTGAGAGAATGAAAGATCAGAACCTTGGAAGGGTGCTGCTTCTAGCAGCAATCTGGGAAGGGATTGTAGATTGCTTGAAAAGAATGTTTAACAATATCTTTCTGGATAATGCCTTCATAGTATTACAGGTCGCACGGGGGTTAATGCAACAGATTTCCCTGCACTCAGCTACCACTCAAGGGGGATCTGTTATGGTGACCACTATGTGATTTAGACAGTTGGTATTCTATAAATTTGTATTTTATTTTTAGCCTGATACTGTGGCCTATTGTGATGGAGCCAGGATCCCATTAAAGCGTCATTGACGGCAAACTGGCCATGTAGTGACACCTTTGTAGAGCAAACTGAAGGAGATCAGTCACTTCACTCCAGGGCTTTTGCACAGACAGTCACACTCTCACTGCATTTATCTGATTCCACAATTCTCAATGTTCCTCCTGTACTGTGAAAACCTGTAAATCGCCCTCCCTCTTGTGATCCTGCACCCAAGTACTCACTGTACTGAACAATCCTCAGCATCTCCTCCCAGACTCTGTACTTCAGAGAGCCCAGGTGCATGGCAACATCGATCAGTGTTCCTGAAACCTCCTCTGGATCCTGCAGTGCGCACTGAGCTCTGCAATAATATTCAGGAGTCAGTGCTGCTGTTGGTTTAAACTGCTGTGGGTTAGGACTCAGTACAATAGAAAAGAGGAAGACAGACTGGACACATACCTGCTCTTTGTGTTCTTCTAGTTCTGGAAAACAACAACATGACCAGTCATTAATTGTTCTCATTAAATAAAATGTTTTTGCATTTTTGCATTGTGCATTTGATTTTGACAATAATAATACAGCAGCAATTCTAATACACTAGGTCAGAGTTCGTGTTGCAGTATACATCATTCAGTAAAACACTTCTTTAATTTGCATTTCTAAGCTGATTTAAATACACACCACCAACTTTTTTAATAATAACAGACCATGGAAAGGTGAACATGGTCTACAGCATGAGTTAAAAATGAGATAAAATTGCTAAATATATATATATATTAAGCCATCAAGTGTAATAATAACTATCATGTCCATTAAGTCTATGGTTTATTTATTCCAGAAAACAGTACTATTTTTAATTCTGTTATAATTTCTACAGCCACCTTCCTTTTAATAAGCAAGCTGACAGTCTGAAATCAGAAGACTTGTCACAGAGATGTTGTCTCATCTCTACCTGCAGGAATGAAATGTCTTCCGCTCCCATCTCCCGTTCTATGGCTCTGATTGTGTCTGACAGGGATGAGATCTCTCTCTTGAGACTCTCAATCTTCTCCTTCATCATCTGGCTCTTCTGCCCCTCTTCCTCCCTCAGTGCAGCTATCCTGCTGTCTCCTCTTCTCGCAGAAACTGGTGAAGTTGCTCAAATTCCTTCTTTATCAGTCTTTCAGTTTGCTGGGCCTGAGTCTGAAATGGAAAAAATGCAAGACGTATTTCACTGTGGCATCACTGTTGGAAAAATTATAGTTGAGTTTGGTGCATTTTAAGACGTTCAAAACTGATAACTTTGTTGTTTTCTACAATATTACCTTAATGTGCTGTGCTGTCTCCTTGCTTGTTTCCTTAACATTTTCTGAAGTATTGAGTTTCCTGTGCAGCTCCGATAGTGCTGCCCTGAGCTGCTCCTGGAAGGAAATGAGACTTTACACTTTGATGGATTCGGTCAGACTAAGTTGCTACCAAGAGAAACTCAGGGGTCAGAGAGAAATCCCGTCAGGTCATTACTGAGATTTTACAAATAGATGGAGTGCAAGGTTTATTGATCCTTAATATGGTTGAACCGTCAATTGCTGAGATATTGTCTTTTGAAGATTACTGGGTGTCAAGACCATCAGATGAAGAGTAATATATGGTAATATATGTTTTAAATGCCAGTCTTTTATTATTATTTTATTAATAATCTGAGAGTGTGTATACCTATGGATGGTAGCGCCTCCAATTGTCAAACACTTTCTTATCTGGACAATGTATTGGATTATATTGTAGTAGTGTTTCGTCTTGACAGTAGTCCATAAGAACAGAAACCAGAGCACTTATGATTCCTGAACAGACCTGAATAAGACAAACTCCTCGTGAACCTGTTACTGATAACTTGCTCAATAAATCTATGCACCTTTACAGTATCTGATTTTTATTGCTCTCACTTTCATTCAATTTACTGGGGATTGTTGTCTTCTAGTTTCACAGCTAATAATCCGCAAGATCGCTGGCTTTATGAAGTCATACTTAGCTTCTAGAATAAAAACTTTTCTAAAAACCATACTGTGTATTAAGTTAATTTCATTTGTTAAATTTAGAATAAACAATTTAGCTTATTTTTGCCCAAGAGCAAAAGCAAGAAACAAAATATTAATTTAAAACAGGGGCCCAGCACAGAGGTACTGTATGTTTTCTAAGTCTGGTGCAGTTGCCCAAAGTGAAAGCAAGAAAAGCCATAGGAAAGCATGTTGAGAACATATTTCAAAATGTAAATTAAAAAAATGTATTACAAAACCATGGCAACAGTGTGAAATTAAAACTGCATGTTTGCAAATTTACCATAATAAACCTAATTTGAAATGTTTGTCACAAATGCAATCATTTTTTTCCTTGTAATAGCAACACATACTGTATGTACTGTTGGAGCTGTACTCTTCTAGGTGGTGCGGTGGCTCCGTGGCTAAGAACCTGTGGAAGGTTGCCGGTTTGTATCCCGCGGCTGGCAGAGGGATCTTACTCTGTTGGGCCCCTGAGCAAGGTACTTAACCACAACAGCTCCAGGGGTGCAGTATAAATGACTGACCCTGTGCTCTGACCCCAAGCTTCTCTTCCTGTTTGTATGTCTCATAGAGAGCAGGCTGGGGTACTGTATATGAAAAGACAAATCCCTAATACAAGAAATTGTATACGGCCAATAAAGTGATCTTAAAATGTAGTATAAACTATAAAAAAGGATGACAACCAGCATGCAGAAATCAATTGCATCATTATTTTAGAAATAATTTGAATGTTCCTTAATAGATTTGGTTAAATCTTTGCTGTCAATCTGTTTGCTTTTAATGTTGACCACGCCATGTATTATCAAAATTACATTTAATAAATATGGAATCAATAATTCAGATTATTTTTGCCAGAGGCATCATCAAGAAAAATATAAGAATTTAAAACAGGTGGCCAATACACTGGTAAGTCTAGTGCATTTACCAAAAGTGAAAGCAAGAAACCCTATAGGAAAGCAAATATTACAAATACAAGTCTTGAATATTTTTTTCTATGTAAATAAAACTGTGATCCAGTTAAAACTAAATGAAACTAAAAAAGTATGACAATCAGCATGCAGAAATCAATTGTATCTTAATTTTAGAAACAATTTAAATGTTCCTTAATAGGTTTGGTTAAAGCTTTGCTGTTAATCTCTTTGCTTTTCATGTTCAGAAACATGTTAAATAAATTAAAATTCCAAAAAGAAGAAAAAACATTCTTTATTCACTTTTGGGAATCACCTTCACCCGAAAAGGAGCAATTCTCTCTCAATGCTAAGAACCATCCACTGTATATCCCATGAAGACAATTGTTGTATCATAGAATACAAGATTGCACTGCATCCTGTGTAAATGTTAATTTCAATCATTGGTATTGCAACTAGGTTTGCAGTGTGTGCCGACTAACGTATTCTAACGTACTGTACAGTAGGCCTGGGTTATGTATAGTGCTGTAAAAAGTATTTTGCCTCACTGCATCTATACACACAAACAAAAATAATGAATGAGTAAAGTGTTTAATAGATAGATAGATTATACTTTATTAATCCCTTAGGGAAATTGATGTGTTACAGCAGTCCAGCCCAAGACAAGCAAAACAGACATCAGAATAGTTATAAAACAAAAGACAAACAAAATAAATAAATTAAAATAAATAAATACATAGCTGTGTGCAAAATGTGCTGATCATAGTCACTGTAAAAACAATAAAATATGTGCAAAATGTGCATAGGTTTATACAGACTGATTGTCCAAAAAGTACAATGGAGTAAACATGCTGTCCATACAGGAGCAAATGAAGGGCTAACAGTTCTAGCCTAGGGCAGCGTTATACACCCTGACAGCCGCCGGGAGGAAAGACCTGCGGAAACGTTCCCTTGAACACCGTAGCTGGAGCAGTCTATTGCTAAATGTGCTCCGGTGCCCAATAACAGTCCCATGAAGCGGATGAAAGGTGTTGTTCATGATGGCTGTGAGCTTGGTCAGCATTCTCCTCTCAGCCACCACCTCCATGGGGTCAAGGCTCATCCCCAGCACAGTGCCAGCCTTCTTGATGAGTTTATTGAGCCTATTTGCATCTTTTGTCATGATGCTGCTGCCCCAGCACACCACAGCGTAGAAGATGGCCGCCGCCACCACTGATTCATAAAAAATGTGTAGCAGTGTTCCACACACACCAAAGGACCTGAGTCTCCTTAGAAAATAGAGTTGGCTCTGACCTTTCTTGTACAGGTCATCAGTGTTACCAGACCACTCCAGCTTATCATCCAGGTGTACCCCTAAGTACTTGTAGGAATGTACGCCCTCTATGTTCTCACCCTGGATGGAAACAGGGTTCAGCGGAGACTTATTCCTTCGAAAGTCAAAGATCATTTCTTTGGTCTTGCTGGTGTTAATGTGAGCAATGTCTAATTTAGCCTTTAAATTTAGAAATACATTATTTTTTACCTTTCTATTCAGTACAGTATTTGGGTTTTCTTGATTTCTGGCAAGCGTCACAGACAGGATCTTCATCATCCAAACAGAACAGCGTGAGTCTCTCAATATGCAGACTGCAGAGTTCTTCAGATTCTACTGGAGGTCTCGGAGTCCTCTCCTGTAAGTTCTCGCACAAATTCTTTAGAGCCAAGCTGATTGGGGGCCGGTCTCTTGAAGATCTTCTCCTGCAGATTGGACATTCCAGGGAGACCTTCTGCTCCCAGTACTGCTGCAAACAGGCTTTACAGAAGCTGTGGCTACATGTCAAGACAACAGGATCCCTGAAGATTTCATAGCACACAGGACATAAGAGCTCCTGTTCCAGGATAGAAGATCTTCCTGCCATTTCAAATGGAAATCCTCACGGAAATGTCTTTTCACCCCAGGCCTCCTAAGAGCACAACTTCCTTCCTGCGCTACAAGGGAGAAAGTAAAACCAAAGTTAGTGCGTACTTCAGCCATGTTAAAATTCAACTTCTGTAAATTGCTTCTGTTCCCAGAATATCCTCATGTTCACCAGAGCAAGATATTTATGTGTTTAGGCAGGTAGATTCAGCACCAACATGTGGAATAAAATTTACACTCATTACAAACTAAATTGCACTTAAAAGAGTATCCTTAATTTTTTTATAAGAATTTCCAAAAATCAAATGCTTTTACTGCCAAGGGTAACTATTTAGCTTTAATTTTTTTTTAATATTTGAAATAAAATGGACATGTTGTTGTTCAAATGAAAACAGATGCAGGAGGGAGATATTACAGAGTAACACGCAAATACAGTATTTCTATCCATACTGTCACGGTTGTCATCCCTCCTCTAGAGGGCGCTCCCACCTTTCTCGTACTGTTCTTAGTTTTATTAGTGTCAGCTGTGTTTCATTCCATGGGTTTCCTCACACAGTCCAAAGACATACTGGTAGGTTAATTGGTTTCTGGGAAAACTGACCCTGGTGTAAGTGTGTTTGAATCGGTGTCTGCCCTTTGATTATCTGGCATCCTGTCCAGGATGTACCTCACCTTGCGATTGTTGCTTGCTGGGATAGGGTCCAACTCCTCTGCGACCCTGAATTGGATGAAGAGGTTAGAAGATGGATGTCCATTGATGGATTTCACGAGTTAGGTGAAAGTGAACTTGGCTGCTGTCAAGTATCTCCTGAACTTTCATTGTAATGTTTGTTAGACTTATAGAAGGAAAATCCTTTTCTATTAACAAGCACGCCTCCCAATGGTCCTTTGGCATATTTCTTGTCACATTTGTCACATTTACTAAGGGGACGAGATCACAATGTTCTTCTGCAATTTGTTTAGCTTGTGCAATAATGTTTTTGAAAAGCAAAAAGTGAAGTGTACGGGTTACAGGTCTCGTTAGTGCAGATTGGTATGTTATAGTTTTTTGTTAAAGAGGGAGATCAGGGATGATTCTCTCAAGAAACTGTTGAGGTACATTTTCTTTAAAAATTCCATTAAGCATTAAGACAGTGGTTTTATTTTGTATTTTGATCAATATTTGAAGTATAGGTCTCCAGTCCTCCAGTCCTCCAGTCCAGGGCCAGAATGTATTTAGGATTTCTAGATCTCAGGTACAGCAACACCTGAAGATCTGGATGAAGCTCTTATATTTATCCAATTAAGCCATTAATGAGCTCCAGGTGTGCAGCAAAAAAATATGACTGGCAAGAGTGTGCTTTCACATGCATGAATCATTCATGTTGACAAAATTCAAAATGACCAGCTTTGTTATTGAGTTTATTCTTTCTCTATTGGTTAAGGAGAACCTTGTGAAAACTGTGCACAATAAAGTACAGAAGTACTTTTAGAATACAGTCTCATTTTATTCTCATTAACTATTTTAGAATAGTTCTAATCTCAAGAATAGCACACAGCAATAAGAATAGGACTCCAAGAGATTGTAAACAGTGGTAGTGCCCTCTTTTGGACAGTGAAAACACTGCAATACCACAGTCTTTCCAACAGGAAGAAAACAGAAACAAAAATATAAATAATGGCAACAGTGTATAAAAACTTTATTAACAAAAATCTGGCTCTTAATGGATCCATAACCTAAAAAGCATATATTTAATTATGCAACCAGAAACAAAAATACAATTAAAGGATTGCAGTATTGTAAAATATAACATTGTAGTATATTACAAAGTATATTAGCAAATATATAAAAAATATTATTTTGCTGGTTATAAGGCTTGGAAGGCACCATATGGCTTGGTGTTTATAAGCCCTACAAATCTGTAGTGGAATCTGTAAAGACTGTAAAGAGTACTGTATTGTTAGGGCATGCCAGACTCATAGGAAACATCTAACAAATGGAGACATAAACTACAGGACATTATCAGGTGGTTTCAGGGATCAGTGAAGTTAACCCATTTGTTCTGGATAATACAAGAGATCTGAGAATAGCATGAATGTAATTCAGTGATTACAAATGTGCCCTCAATCCCAGTAAAATCTGTACTATCCATGTTTTTCCTGTTGTTCTATGCATGTGACCATCAAATGTTTTGTTTGCTTAATTGATTGAACAGTACCCGTGAATACAGAAAAGTCATTTTAATGTGCTGCATCTCATTAATCCTTAGAATATAATTAACTGCATCAAACTGAGCACAGACTGTGATTAATTTACAGTGGTCTCTTTGGATAATGGTGTCAGCCAAATAAACAGCCATTCTCATTATTATAAGGAAGCTAAAGATCTTATAACAATATTTCTTAAATTTTGTTGCATCAAGCCATTGATTCAGAAATCACCTGCTTCAGCCTATCGTCAGCTGAATTAAAAAAAACACAAAATTCCTCTTTTTAGAGACTTTTACTGTTTAGTAAGTGTGGCATCTGGCAGGCTGACCAGGAACTACGATTCAAGATTGTGCAGAGTGGACGGACTTTGCCACATAGCATCATGACTTTACAGGCCTTGGTTTTGGGTTTTGCTCTTTGTGAGTGTAATAATGTAATATTATTAATATGGAGGTGTTCTTGGAGGATTATATCCATGCTCACCTCCCCACCCACAGCCACTCAAATGAAGCTAAGAAGCAAGCGGCAGCTGGGGAGGAGGAAATAATACTGTAGATTCAAACACTCTACAAAAATGCATCACTTTAAAACCCATTTGCAGGAAGTGTTCAGTGATCAAATCAAATTGGCAGCAAGCAGCTCAGGTGGAAAAGATTAGTGCTGGATGTGAGAAGCTGGATGGTAACGCCCACTTCTCTGACAAGTCTCAACTGTATGGTGGTGAGGTGAAAATTAGTTCCTGCTTCCTTCCTTCAGACATACTGTAGGAGCTGCCATGGCAATAAGTAAACAAGATCACAGGTACTGTAAACAGAGATGAAATGCTCTGCCACATTCATGTCATCAGTTCTGGGGGTCACTGGCTTGTTAAAGGTTCCAGCTGCAGCCAGAGTCCCCCCTCAGCCCTGAGGATCAGATCTGGTTTGCGGCGGACCTCTACTGTCTTGGGTGTGACCTGGAAACGGCGCAGGGTCAGGGCAACCACCACCCTCATCTCTGCCATGGCAAAGTTCTGACCGATGCAGTTCCTGCACAACAAAATTACACAGGGAGAGGGAGAGGCTTACAGTGAGACAGGCTTCTTTTTCTTGTTTTGCTTCATAATTCAGCATGACCATGAAGTGAAGGAGACATGGAGACATCTGTGTTGCAAACTGGTGTATGAAGACACTGTAATCACCCTAGATCAGTCATTAGAGACCACAAGACTAGTCTCACTGAGTGCTCATTCATTAATAATTGTATAATTGATAAAATGGTATAGTAAGGGCATAGACTGCACATTTTGGGTAATTAGTGATGGTTTGACAATACAGTAAATAGGATTATCACTGTGCTAGTGGAGATTGGGTTAGGAAGCAATCTATGGAAACTGTTTTGGGCCAAACCCTTCAGTAAAAACTTCTACACTTCATGTGCCCTGTTATCTGGAAATCAGAAAACCATCACCATGTGACACTTGGAAACCATCACCATGTGACATCTTAATTCAATGTTAATTGCCTTCTCTACACACAATTTATAGCATGCTGTCCTCGTATAATGCTATAGTCTGTATAGAACACTGAGACTGGATGTGGGGGTCTTCACCATGACAAGACAACCCATAAATGTGAGCTGTGAAGATGAATGCCATGCTAGATAACATGCAATGTTATCTAACCAAAAGAGAAAAAACATTCAAATGTCTGTCTGCCAAGGTTTTTTTACACAACTGAAATTTTGTTTTACACCTATGTATTTGTTTTACTCTATCTTTCTTCACTTCAGTATGGAAGTCACTTCAGCTTTCTTTTGCACCTCTCCCTAGTCTAACCTCTCCTGAGAGTAACTCAGAAAATCAGGGCTTGGTGTCCCTTGACTTTAACAATAATCATCAATGCTTGTACAGTATATGTTAACACCCAGGAGGATGGGATGAAGCTGTAGGAGGCAGGATACCATACCTTGGTCCTGCTGAGAAAGGGACAAATGCATAGGATGATCTGCCTTCTGAATGCTCTGGGTCAAACCGGTAGGGATTGTAAACCTTTTAAAAAATGAGAGGGCCAGTAAGTAAAAGCTTTCTACAGTATTTTCTATTTTCAAACCTTCAATGGCTAAGGAAGCTTGATGCTCTTTAGAGGCTCACAAGATACACTGACATCTTGTGGGCTGATTCTTGATGATGAAATGATTTATCTGTGTGGGGAAACCCATAATTCCAGATCATTCCCAGATTATTCTCAGATCAGGCGCCACAGCTGCATGAAAACTCAAAGCTACTGTATGTGTTTTCATGAACTAGAATGGTGGAAAACCAACCAAGCTCCTATTATCTAGCATTCTAATTTTGGTGAAATAGTAACTAAATTAGTAAACTGAGAATGGTCATGAATTATGCCAAACTTTGGGGTAAATTCATGTATAATGCTAAAAATAATAATTGTCACACAAATTGTACCAAATGGTACACAAGAACTGTGAACACTGAAACATTAAATACAGATAGTTAAATACAGGTAAACAATGAACAATCAAAATTTTTCACTCAAAATGACAAATTATTATTTTGTATTTGCAGAGGTTATATGAGACTTGGCTGATTGTTGCCTTACTGATAATGTGATAAAAGTGATAAAGAACGTGATAGAGGTACTCACATCTGGGTTTGGCCACACCTTGGGGTTATGATGAGTACCATAGATGCTGGCAAGGCAAATATTTCCTACACATGAAAATAAAACACAACATTAAAACAGACCCCACAAGCCAATTGAATATTCAGGATACACCCAGGATGGGCACACACAAACACAAAAACAGACACGCACACACTCCCACCAGGGACAATTTTCCCAGAAGCCTATTAAACTACCTGTATGTCTTTGTCCATGACAGGAAACCAGTGCACCCCAAGGAAACCCACAGAAATACAGGGAAAACATGAAGTCTCTGCACAGATCGCACCCCAGGTTTGGAATTGAACCCAGGGCCCCAGCAACGCAAAGGCAGCAATGCTCTGAGGACCAGTGTGAGAGACTACTGGCACTTAGGAGGATCTGTCACCAAGCTTTTTCATATCCTTTCAACAAGAACTTAAATAAAAGAGGATGAACTATTCTATACCAATTCATCGTGTAACACACATGCAAAATGTATGGTACTAGAAGATTTATCACACGACTCCAATATAAAAAGCCAAACATAATAATCATTGTATTCTATTCAATGTACAACATTACAACAAGGTACTGTATGTCTTGCTAGAAATCCCTCATGACTTTTTTTAAATGGCTGGAATGAAATAGATCCTCTGTGATCAGATATCGCCACTAAGCGTGTTGGTTGTTCATCTATTAATCATTGGTGGATACCTGGAAGTCTGCAGTCTCCAAGCAGAACACTGGCTGAGCACTGCCGAGACTTGGCAGGACAGTCATGTGGGAGCTTTTAGACAGATGTTAAGTCAATCAGTGCCATGTGTCTATCCTCCAGCTAGCACTAGAGTCACTGTATTCATATCCAGCAGCTCTTCATTGCTAATTTAAATGTGAGTAAATGGGAATCTTCCTAATTATTAGTATTATATTGCATATGTCTTAGATAAAGTGTTTAAGGGTCACATTTGAGAAGGGAATAGGAAGAAATACAGTGATCAACCCACAGATATACCCTCAGCCCTCACCCTTAGGCACCACTCGTCCTCCTGGCATCTTTATGTCTTCAGAAAAGCGGCGGGTTACGGCGGTAACTGGTGGGTACAACCGCAGGCTCTCCTTGATGCACATGGTGATGAAGGGGAGATTCGTCAGGTCATTCCTGCACAGAGGACACACCAAAATCAGGGGCTCCACAGTGAATCAGGGATCAAAGGCCACAAGGGTGAAATTAAGAGGAGGCAGAACTCAAGAGGAACTTATTTACACAAAGAGTTGCTGGTGTCTGCATTTAGATATCCTGCCATGCTGTCAAGGGCATTCCTGAGATCTGAAGAAACCTTGGATTGATATGTTCACATTAATTACTTTCTAGAACTCCTCTGCTGCTACTTCAAACTGTCCTACTTGTGTCTCCTTTCAGCCTTGGTCTGCCCGTCTGATAGTTCTCAGTAAATGATGCCACAATATCTCCATTGCTTGCATCCTTATGCACCATAAATGTGCATACTGCCAGCTGTATTTTTAAAAGCAATAAAGATCAGGATTATATTATGTAAACTGAGCATAAGAAAAATAAAGCAACCCCACCCTGCATTGAAAGGTGAGTAATGCAGTACTCAGCAATTAGTGAGTTATTTAAGTAAAATTCATTGAGATCTGATTATTTGATTGTTATTTGATCTATAGTGCCACCACCGGTACTGAAAAGTTAAAGAACTCAATTCTTCTAGTTCCCAAGACTAAGCTCTGAATCTTGGGAGTCTTCAATTTCTATTCAGGAATGATCTCTTAGGCTTTTATTGGATCCTGCAAGTTTCCACTTCCACATTTTCCCAAAGTCTTTCAATTTCTTACAACTAACTTAATACAATTAGCTCTTTAATTTACTGTATTCCTGCAAGCATTCATGGTTCTAAAGTTTTTTACTGCAAAGCACCTTGAGATGATGTATTGTATACAATAAAGATAATTAGATCTGGTGCTGTATTTTAATAAACCAACATTAAAAAATGGCTGTAGAGAACTACTTTATTTAACCTTAAGCTAACATACCATTCAATAAAACAGAAAGAATAATTTGAGATTGGTAAAAATACAGTTACTCAGCCATACAGATACAGACATATCACCCTGCGACTCACAGCTGGCAGACCACTGTAGCTAAGCAGGTGTGAGCCTGGTTAGTGCCTGGATGGGAGACCTCCTGGGAAAAACTAAGTTTGCTGGAAGAGGCGTTAGTGGGGCCAGCAGGGGATGTTTGTTGATCCAAACTCCCCAGTTTAGAGATGGGGACACTCTCTGTAAAAAGTGCCATCCTTTGGATGAGGTGTAAAACTGAGGTCCTGACTCTCTGTGGTCATTGGAAATCCAAAGGTGTTTCTTGAAAAGAGTAGGGGTGTAACACCTGTTCTGGACAAATTCCTCACTGGCCTTTACCAATCATGGCCTCCTAATAATCCCCATCTATGAATTGGCTTCATCACTTTGCTCTCCTCCCCACTGATAGCTGATGTGTGGTGAGCGTTCTGGCGCACTATGGCTGCCGTCGCATCATCCAGGTGGGGCTGCACGTTGGAGGTGGTGGAGGAGAGTCCCCATAACCTGTAAAGCGCTTTGAGTGTAGTGTCCAGAAAAGCCCAATATAAGTGTAAATAATAATTATTATAATAAATTAGTTACTTCCCACGGTTACACCAAAAGAGCTATTGTATTTTATTTCTGCTTTGTTTTATATATATTCGTTCAGAATTGTCAATTAATCAATATCATGAATCAATAAATGATTAAGACAATACACACCCTATGAATATAAAGAAAATAAATACGGTACAGTATGTCTACAGAAACTTTAGCAAAATTAATGTTCTTTCGTCATTTGCAATAAATGACTTGTAGGAGATGAGCTTGTTTGTTTACAAATTGCAGTATATTAAACTGATGTGAAACTGCAAAAGCTGCAAAATTATTGCAATCAGTGAACAGCAATATTACAGCTAGCTCGTGGTGAGGAACTGTGTTCATTGTGTCGTCTGGCACAGCGGCTGGAGAAACGACTTTCCGAATACTTGCAGGCACATACAGCTGTCAGAAGATGGCGCTCCTGTACCAGCTAAAAGAGAAGGTAGCAGCCTATAGGATTCGTCTTGACCAAAGGTTAAATTACAGGCATGTTACTTAAAACAGCTGTATGAACACATATGAGGTCATGTAAAGTGCTACTTTTTCCAGGACCATATACAGTACGCTTTATAGGCCATATAAAAAAAATATCAAAATATTTCAGAATCTTCATCATCATTGTTATTATCATTCCAATCAAAATAATGATTATAAAAATAATCAAAGATGAATTAAAAAAACACATGCATAGAGATCAAAATGGACACTGACCACTCAATCTCCTCTGTGTCCCGGCCCTGCAGAACAGAGTTCACTTCTGCCCGACACTTCTCCTGGTATTCAGGATATAGAGAGAGGTTGTACAGCACCCAAGAAATCCCACTGGCTGTAGTGTCATGACCTGCGAGTGAGAGAGAGGGATTTTTGACTCCGCACTCCACTTATGTTAACAAATTTAAAAGACAATGGCATAATATATTATATTAAAAAACAGCTACCAAATCAAGTCAAAACCCAGGTTACATCTGTTCTGGAGGACAATCTTACCTTCAAACATGAACGTATCAGCCTCGGCCTTGATTTCTTCATCAGTGAGCCCTTTACCATCTTCATCCTGGAAATGGAGCCAAAAAAATATCTAAGTACAGGCTTCTATTGAACAAAATGAAATCACTTGAAGATGCAGAAATGCACAGAGCCCAGTTTAGGGTTGGGTTTGGATAGGTAGGCCAGGGCTTTCATGGCAAAATGGTGGCTCCTGAGATTTCTTTCATTACTCCACTTGGGGCTGGTCTTCCTTTCAAGCTCTGAGGAACTTGTGGAACCATGTTTCTAATGGGTAGAGAAAGTCAGAAGAGCTTGTCCATCCTTTGATAATTTAGTTAGAAATATAATTTAAATGAAACACCCAAATCCCAGGTGAATAAAAAAATAAAAGCATTGGGGTACACTACTGTGAAAGACATAAAATTGCACATGCAAAACTAGAACATGTATCACATCCTTATCCATAGGAAACCTGCAAAACCTATGGGAGATCACCTGCTTTAAATTAAGCATAGATTGCTGGAGCTGTATTTATCATTAATAGTTATCTTTTACAAAACAGTTTGATAAGTCAATAGACACAATTAGACACAAATTTACTGAATGTCCTCTTATTTGCAGTTTTTCCATTGTTCACATTTTACCTTTGAAAGCAGAAGGACATCAATGAAGTCAGTCACTTTTCCCTTCCTAGGCCTGTAGCTCTCCTCCCCCAGCTGGTGTAGTTTGGCTCTGCGGCGCTGGACTATGTCTGCAGTGAATCTGTGCACAAGGTCACAGGCCCTCTTGAAGCGTCTGCCCTCCTCCGTGCGCCAGTACACAAAGTCGAAGTGGTGCAGTAGATGGTACTCCCGGTTCACAACTAGAGTGCTCAGCTCATAGATTGCTGCTATGTACTCACTGGGTTTCCTGGTCCAGAGATTCACAGAAAGGGAGTCAGTCTAACACATGCCTTGCTCTGAAATCCCAACCCTAGCTACAACCTTCCCAATTCTTCTTCTCGATCTGGACTGAAATCAGTTCAGCACCGGCTGATCCTTGCAAATGCTTTTTTTTCTGGTTTGTTAAGTGTTATAGTCTAGAACTCTATGGGATCACCTCAATCCAGATTTCCCCTAACCTCACACTCTGTTCATTTCCTCTAGAGTTTTAAAAACATGAGTAAGAAGTGTAATAAATACTCTACTCAAGCAGCAAAAGAAGTATCCAATAGGGCCATTTCCATCCTTGGATAATAGATGGTTTTTGTTGTGCCAGCAGCGATATACTATTAGTGAGGTTTTCCTTGGCAAAAATAAGAATAGAGAGAAAAATAATTCAATGGGAGAGTATAGAGCCAGCTACCTAGCCATGTTATCAAAGTAGACATCCTTCAAGAAGTGGCTGTATGAGATCCTTGCATGAATTACCTACTACAGACCAAACGGGCTAGATGGGCTAATTGGTCCTCAGTCATTTACAACTGTTCTCGTGTTCTTATGGACTCACTCTTGGCAGTTGCTGTCATAACTGAAGGTGCACTTCAGCAGGCTGTCCAATGTCATCAGGCTCACATGCTCAAACATGTCAAAGCTTGTTGTCCCTTCAGAAAGCAAGCGTCGCCACTTCGCCTGGATAGAGGGCGACAAAGCATCTAACAAATCCTGCATTTCACTCAAGAAAACAAAATTTAATCATGAAACATAAGCAAAACAAGTTCCTGTATCCTTTTTCACAAGGCTCTTATTATTGGGTGGCCCAGAAAACCATTCCTTTCAACTCCTTTTATGGCTGCTTTCCCTCAGATTTGCTGTATTTTCATATGCTAAGCTATAAATGACTTTTGGATTAAATTCCTATGGGATTTAGCATTCTCTGGCATGTAGCAGTGGCTTGTCCATGCTGTGATAAAATTGCTTTTCTATATTAGTGGCACTAAGCATGAGAAAGCCATTAACAGCTCCTGTCTTATCATTTGCATTCCTGTAAGAGCTAATTTTGATTGAAAATGTATCCCCGATTCTTTAATAAAATCAGTGCTGGATCTTGATAGGACAGTGGCAGGGTGGCAATAGCTTGGAAATAATTTTATTGGGTGAATAATGGCATAATTATGCATACATAATTGTATTATGCCAAGAATGTATGTTGCATATTGTCAGTTAAGTGATGGTTAAAAAAGATGAAGAGCACCGCTGACACTGGGGCATACAGTCCTGAGCATTTCCCATTGGCAAAGGCAAAGAGGATACAATTTTATAGGAACTGTTATTTATTATAATGTATTATATGACCAATTCTTTTACACTGTTTCAACAGTTTATTTTGCCCCTTTGACATCATCCATCCATATAACTGCTTCTTCCAATTCTGGGCCGTGGGGGAGCTAGAACTGCTCCTGGCAGGCAAAGCGCATATGAACACCAAGATGGGAAAGCTCTCATTTACATTCTCTCTACTGATCTTATTACAAGACAGCACCCATCCCTGTGTGCAGCTCATGCCAATTTTCAATTCACTTTCACAAGCACCAAAACAAAATCTGAGTCAGGGCAGGATTTTGGCGGTGTGGTAGCTCTGTGGCTAAGGATCTGCGCCTGTGGTTGGAAGGTTGCTGGCTTGAATCCCACGACCGGCAGAGGAATCCCACTCTATTGGGCCCCTGAGCAAGGTACTTAACCCCAATGGCTCCAGGGGTGCTGTATAAATGGCAAACCCTGTGCTCTGACCTCAAGCTTCTCTCTCTATCTGTGTGTTTCATGGAGAGAAAGCTGGGGTATGCAAAAAACCAAATTCCTAATACAAGAAATACAAGAAATTGTAAATGGCCGATAAAGTGATCTTATCTTATCAAGATGGAGATCAAGTCTGAGAATGAGAACAAGATCAAAATAGAAAGTGAGATCGAGAATGAGCTTGAAATGACAATGGGATCAAGTTTGAGATCAAGAAGAAGACTGTCTCTGACAGGAGGCTCACATGCATGATGTCGGTGGAATTGTTGAAAATCTCCACGTAGATTTTGAGGATGTCAAAGTGGAAGGCTGGTGTAAGAAGCCTCCGGTGACGAGCCCATTTCTCTCCATTGCTGAGCAGCAGGCCTTCACCTTGAAAGACAAACATGAACAAATCTGTTTGAACAGCATTCTTAAAAGGTGATTTTCAGAGTTTTCAGGACTTATCTTGGCCTGCCATGAAAGGGAAAGTGACATGTGTCACATAGAGCAAAATGTCTTTCAAAACTGGTCTTCAAGGGACTAAGTTCAGCTTATTGCCTGTGAAAAGGAGAAAATCAATGAACTGGTGTGAATACTTACTGTAGTTTAATATACTAATTGAGAGCTCAGGTGAAATGAAAACCAGAATACTTTCTGGCCCATGTGGAGCCAATTTAAAAATTAACTGCCCAGGGACCTTACCTACAGTATATTGAATAATGATTCTTTTTCTTGTCACACTTTACTGTGTACATTTTGCTCAAAGCAGAACAGCTTTTTCCTGTTATTTCTCAAATATGTTGTGTAGTTTCCCCTGAGTGGAGCTTGGCTGCGGAAATTAGTGCCCAGCTTGCTATTAAAAATGTTCTCACTGGCAGCAAAGTAACAGCTGCTGCCCTCTGGGGGATACTAAAGTACTGGACTTGCTATAGACTAAGCTACTTAGTACCATACTAAGCTGAGCACCGAATTGAAAGGGAAAGTTCTGAATGCAGCTGCTTACTATTGAAATAATACTCTGATGTAATGATTTTAAGCATTCATAGCTTCAAAATGTATTATAATATTTAGCTAACTTTGAATTTCAAATACAACACAATAGATCTACATCGCATGTCCTAATTATAAAGAAAAGGTGTCATGAGTATTACACTTACTAACGTATATAGCGTCTGTAGTCTGCTATAGAGAGTTCTGAAATGTATATTGAAGTAAATATTCCTCGAAGAAAAGCGAACTGAAATCTAGACATAAAAGGATGTGTTTCTTAAAGTAAGTGTGTTCAGTCACACCTGGGTGTCACTCGAATTTCTCAGGTGACACCTAGAATTTGTTCTAATATTTATTCTGACTCTATACTGGTGATTCTTAGAGGGTAGTGGTGATATTGAGGTACAGGGGTACCATGGGTACAATGTGGTATTTTATGTAGTTAAATGTAAGTGATATATACTTGTAAAGAAAGATTCCTTGGATTGCAGTCGAGACTCCAGTAGGATCATTGCCAGAACTGAGGAAATCCAACTAGTTGGACTGGTCAAGATCCACAGAAATCAATTTGAAATCACACTGAAGATGAAGTGAAACAATAATAGCATTTGACAAGTGTCAGGCATAGCCTTGCAATATTTTGTACACATAAATAAAGCCCAAGTCTATCATAAAAATGACAATCAGTTTTCTTGAGAGTCTAAAGAAGATCAGTATGTCCCCATCAATTAACAATGAAAATTAAATATACTGTGATTCACCACATGATAAAATTCAAACAGCATCCAACAGCAGCTGCACTCATTTCTGTGGCGCATTAAAATTGATAGAATATTATATAGCTAGTTACATGCCTTTATCTGATTATTTCAGCATGCATATATTTATTAAAAACTAGCATTAAACTATCACAAGCATTCAGCTACATATAAAACGGTTATATATATAAATGTCTACTCAGATAATACATGTAGCTTACTGGCTTTTATTTAATAGGATGCAGTTCCCTTTTTTGCCTTATAACTATTAAGATTTTTGGATTTTTCTGGATTTTTTTATGTCTGTATAAAATTTGGCTCAGAAACTCATAGGCCTGTAAATATGAGCTCAATGTATAATTGCTGTGCATAGAAAAAATTATTAATATTTGCCATCAAATGATCTGCTACAAACCTTAACAAAGAAAAGACATTTTTTAATATGATGCATTTAACCCCACATAAAGATTTTAATGTGTCTTTCTGATTCCCCGAATTGTAAGTTGTTTTACCTAAGGCTTAAAGGAATTCTTCTTTCACTGTGTGATTTCGACAAACATCTGTTACTTTTTATCTGAAATACTAGAGGGAGATGTTCCCAGTTCACTAAAGTGAGCTTTACTGAATGATGATTCATCTTTGAAACATCTTTATTCTGAAATAAATAGATGTGATTAATAGTTACTATGTCTGCCATTAGCACACTATTGGCTGACCTCCGGTGCTCTCACTGGCATTCTGTTTTTGGACATTTTACTTCTGGAACTTTCCATAGCCCATGGTACCAATGACCAGCCAATTAAATCATAATAGTCAGCAGTTAGTTAAATCATGATTTTATTTATAATACATATATTCCTTATGTTTTCTATACTTACAGTATTATTGTTTTTAATCGTGGACTTTTTGATTACGTTTTTTTTTCTCTCCATTTTAGGAGTGCATTGCTGTGGAAATGGGAGGTATTAGTTCTCAGTGCTGGTTTTAATTGTTCACAAAAATAGCTAAAATATAAATTTTAAAAATTATCATATTTCCTTGTCCTGTTTGGACAAGTCTGGGCCAGGTCATTACTCTATCATCAATCTGTACTGGAGAATAAAGGACATTTAACGCTTAGGAATTCCTGACTTTGAAAGTCAAACATTTTTACATTTTGCTTTGCAGAGAAAACAGGTATTAGGACCTGATTCTTACATTGCTTTGATTCCGCCTTATTTTAGAATTTTATGCTCTCCTTTTGGTAACAATATGGACCAGATTAAAATTCAGATACATACCCGTGTATGTATTTAGTAGAAAACAGTTGTTCTTGTACTGACCTGTTGCACATATGAACATATGAACCATAATTGTAGCTGCATTCTTTGGGAATTATCACAACAGGAAAAACATTTTCTTACTTTCATTTCTGGTTTTAATTTATCTCACCCACATCCAGATTTCAGAACTAAAGAGAAAAGCAATGCATTTCCTAAGAATTAAGAAACATGAGACTTTTTTTGTCAAGTCTGAGGCTTGGTCAGCTGTGTAAAACAGATTGATTGGGACAAAAACTGCAGTGTTACATTCCCATTAAAATGTTCCATCAGGCAGCCTGCCACTCTTTCAAGATAATGACTCATCAACATGCTTCCAACACATTTAAGAAGGGTTTGCAAAATATATTTTTTTCTTGTAAGCAAATTATGAATCTTGAAGCATCCTAGGAAATTTGAATGACACTAATTAAGTTCTAATTATGTTGAGTGCTTTAAGAACATAAGTTTTGAGTTTTGAAGTACAAATGACAGGCGACCATTTGACCCATGTGTCACGAATGTCGGAAAGGATGCCGTGGAATGACTATGTGAGCAGTAGAGACCCTATGCATAGCAGTAAAAGGGGCAACACGGAGGTTAGCACAGGCTCAGGGGGTCAGACAGGGTCAGTCGGTATAGAAACCTATGCCCGCAGGCCACAGACGTGGGGCGACCTGGTAATAGGCGGGTCTCACGACATCCGTACCCTCAATGTTGAGCGAGGAGCAAAGCAGACACACCAGAAAGACATGAATAATCACAGGGAGCTAGGAACAGGACAGAACTAGAGTGCCCTCTAGGTGTACAGGGCGTGACACCATGTAGCCCATTTGATAGATAGTGGCTATTGTCTAAGAGTCTCATTCAGCTGTTTCTTGAAAGAACCAACAGTATTGGTTTCAGCAACATGGATGGGCAGGTTGTTTCATTCTCCCACTACTCTTTGGGTAAACAAGTGCCTCCTAGTCTCAATTCTAAATGCACTTCCACATAGTTTCCACCTATGACCTTTTGTGTTTCACTGTTTATTGAAGTCCACTGGATTCTTCTCACAATCTAAACAATATTCAGTTACTTCAGCCTGTCAGTGTAAGACTTTCCCTGTTCTCAGTATAACAGAAGGTACAAAGGGATTTTGAGGCCTTACCTAGCCACGGTCGGAGAAAACCATAGAAGAGTTCGTCTTTATAAGAGATGGAAGCTGCAAACAGACCGCAGATGAAAGAATTTATGAGACGTCAAAACCATTTGGCACACATACATTTTTGCAGTATGATGAAATGTTTCCTCTTCTTGAACAGGGAAATGTAAAAATTAACAGGACAATAACCATCTTAGTGCAAGAATGAACAAAAAGAAAGGAAGGAACGAGTCACATTTGCTGAGAGGGAAACTTAGGGCTCTACTAGCCACAGCAATGTGCTGAGCAGGTTAACAACGGGGAATTCTACGTTTGCAGTTGAGATGAAATTTAAAAAGAATAGTTCTGTTTTTTTATTAAATGTGTTCTAGTGTAAAGTTAAAAGAACCCAGATTTGTTGCATTCCTAATGCCAAATGAAATGGAGCTTTGTGGACATATCTTACCTTGTTTATCTAAAGTAGCTACTCAGCTTGCTCACAAAGAATAATTCATTTTCTAGCTGCGTTTGCTGAGGATCTTTCACCACCTTTAAAATTAAAGTGTGTATTTATGTAGTTTGATCAGCTGTGCAATGAAAAGTGTATGTTGGATTGATTAATTTGCAAAGATAGGAAAACGAGACCTAAGTAGAAAGAAAGTCACCAAATCACAGAGATCAAATTGCATGCACCTACACAAGCTTTAGGTGATATTGCTTGATCCAAAACATATCATTGTACAACCTTCTGACTCTCTTTCAAAGTTTCAGCCTTTTAATATGTTTTAAGCACAAATCTGTACATGTACTGTAAATATTTCTAAATCTTAATTTGATAAGTATCTTTGTATCTTGATAAGTGTCTTTTTCTACAAAACAATAATATTCAGAAGATGACTGTGTATTTATGCATTTTGGTTTGCTTCTTTGATTGATTGTGACAGGACATTAAAAAAAGTTACAAGCTGAAGTTGTACACTATTTCTTTTTTGATTAAAATACCATCATTATAATCTTCCACACTAACTAACATAGACCTTATACAGTATGACTACTTCTGTCTGTAATGAATTCCATAAATAAATTAGTATACAAATAGGTGCGGAAGGGTTGTTTAACACAAATTAATTAAGAGGCAGGAAATATCACCCTGCAGTGCCATTTTCAATTACTTTATATTTGCAGTGATTCCTCTGTGATTGCTGGAGAAATTCAGAAATTAGACCAGGAGAAACTAATAAAGAGATCTTGGAGCTTAATTAACCCACAGTTGTGCATTTCATCATTCTTCAGTGTCAGTGTCGGGGGTATACCTGAAGCAAACAGGACAGGTTTGATATAGTCTGGATGGAAGATTCTGATGATGGAGTAGAATGGCCCAAACCACCAGGAGCATGAATGCTCATAAGTCTTGACAAGCTCATCCACTGCCTTGAGGCCTTCCTCTGTGTTCTTCATCTGAAATGGCAATGGAGCAAAAAAAAAATACTGAGCCCAGACATCACTTTTACTGAAACAGGGTCACAGGTGTCCCAATTTGCAAGAACTAGAAAATGACTCAGCAAATATGAAATGATGCAACAGGAAAAGAATCATTAACGTCTGCCACCTATGAACCCTCTATGCACTGAAACCCATAAAGATTTTACAGAGCTTGAGTTGAATGAGCAGAATAGATATATAAGGCAGTGGCCAAGGCCTCTGGTATTCAGATTGTTCACTATCAGCAGACTAAGTGTGATAAATTACTTTTGTTTTTCAGTCATACTGCTGACATCATGCACATACAGACTCTTTTGTTAAGTGTCCACCCTGAAACTTACCAGAAACCTAAATAAACATAGTAGGGTTCGATTCCGTTCTTTCAAAATGACAGGGTGCAGAATTTATTTGAAGTTATGAGTGTTACCACCTTCCAGCCTGAACTTCTCAGGCCTCAGAAACAAAGATGCTCATATTGAGGACTGTGATGAGAGCCATCTAAGGAAACTCATGATCGTTAAAGATCCCATGGCACTGCTCATAAGAACAGATTGTAGTTTCGGATAAATATAACTACAATGATTTGGAATGTTTTGGGATGAGAAGTGATATAGAATTGTAAGGGATTCAACATTTAACACATGTTGCAAATAACCATGCTGTGGCTAAAAATAGATGCAATCCATTATTTTATTAATAAAAAGGCAAAAATGAAGGATCTGATAATACTTTTAGAATACTGTATACTGTAAACTTTATAATTCTTTTAGAATAAACTGTAAAACTTTGAGATAATCTCGGGGGCTTTCATAGGATAAAACAAAGAATACTAAAATATCCACAAATGGGAGGCAGTTGTTAGTTCTTGGTCCAGGAATTGTATCCACCAGTTTCAACACTGCAGCAGGACACACAATGCACTTTGTGTAAAGTTGTATCCAGTTCACAGTTCTAAATACACTTCCTCTTACACAAAAACATGCATTTTCACCACACGTTAATGTTTGCAGTCTTAGTGTATTCATGTAGGCGTTCAACCTTTATTAGTTTTGTTTTTTAATAAAATCAGGACATATAAAAATCCAATATGTTTGAATATTGGACCTTTGTGGCTTAGCAGTAGTTGTAGCCGCAGAATTAGTAGCAGTTGTAGCGGTAATAGTGGTTGTAGCAACTGTAGTAGAAGTAATAGTAGCAAAAGTAATGGTAACAGCAGTAGAGGGAAATATTATTTTGAAATGTGTCTTAGTTGAGTAAAGCCATTTGAAATATACAGAAAAGCATTGCGAGAGCTGTGACTCTATCACACTGGGTGCGTGACTCCTGAGAGTCAGCAGACTGGGCTAGTGTTAAATGAATGTGGAGGGGCAGTAGGTGTATGGGTCCTGTTTGTTTTGTCATTATTTGGTGTTTGCTCAACAGTCACCCATACTACGCTGTGTAGACCGTGCTATATGACTCATATTCCAATCACTCATATGCCAGCGAACACCTAAACACATATATTAAAATGAAATCAAAGTGCTTTTCTAATGCCCTCTCTACTGCAAGCCTCTGCAACCATGCTACCAGAGACAAGTAAGCCAATTCCTCTGTGTAAGACAACAATACATAGTTTTACATAAACTAATGTCCCATCAACCTCCTCCACTTGGCCACTGCAGGCACCTATTTCTTGTTGAAGACATTGCATATAATGACATTAAAACACCTGAAAAATTAAAATCTCACAGGAATTGTTGTCTTTTCATCCTTCTCTGAATCAAGCTCAAAATGTTTTTTTGTATTAAGTAGGGAACCAATTTGGAAGTCCTTACTGTCACAATTTTTTTAGACTATATTTGATTGGGTTGAAGCTGTTAGAAACGGCTTTCTAGGAAGAGTAACAAAGAAACTACTGCACTAGAGCATGTGGATTAATTTGATATTTTTTACTGCATTAAATGCACTTCAAAATGTATTGTTCTTGACCAATCTTGTGTTCCAGCAAGTTCTCAGTCATTGCTTCTCCTCATCCCAGTATTTATCTTGATAATGTAGCTATCTCAATCAATAACAGAAAACAGAATAGGAACAGTAAGTCTAAACGCAAACAAGGGGAAGCTGGATAAATTTTAGCTCCCATTGTTTTATCAATAGGCATCTCAGAAAAGTGCAACCAAAATTGTTTTTTGAATTTAATAATTTTTAGGTTGGGGGGGGGGGTGGCGGGTAATGTCATGCAGATTTCAGGCTCCTTGCAATGGGTATAATGCAATGATATACAAATTAAAATGAGACCTTTTCACTTTTATTAGACAGGATACCTTTTCACTTTTATTAAAGAAATAAAGCTTGGTCTCTCAATATATTTTAATGTACTTTATACACAATATCCTGACTTGCAGTAACTGGAGACCACAGACAGACCACAGCCTGATAGTTGATGCAGAAACACATACTGTATGTACTTTACTTGTGACAGAGCTCACCAGAGCAACTCCATGCAACATTTTTAATATGCACACTCACAATTGCAATTCAATATGCATAATCACAATTTTAAAAAATTAAAGACTGCCAGTGCCTTATCTTGCTGACTCTGCTGATAAGAAAATATTTTATGCTTCTTATGTTCTTATGTTCTTATTCCTTAAAAATAGATACAAAACTTACAAAACAGGAACAGGATGTAGAACCCTGCACTGTGCTGAGTTATTGATATACTTTGGACACTACTGGTGTAGGTTGTCTAGAGCTGAATGGGATTGATATTAAATGAATTTTACATTCCAATGCAGCATGTTCCAACAATTACCTCAGAAATTAGGAGAAAACTGGTTGAGAGGACAGTACAGTGCGTTCCTAAAATCTAGCTAATGCTAGCTAGATCTAGCTAATCTAACTAAACTCTAGATAATGCTAGATTTTCTAGTAAAATGTGTTAAAGTGGTGGTTTTATTAAATAGAAAGGCATGAATGTTATCATTAAGATAATAAACCATATAAATTCTGAAACCCTGTGGAACTGATGCTGTGTCCATCAGAACGGAAATGGTTCAAAATCAGAGCACGACTTAGAGCACATAATTATCCATCCATACATTTTCTAACCTGTTTATCCGGCACAGGGTCATACTCCCAGTCCATCACAGGGGGACACAAACACAAACACACACCTTCTCACAGTAGGGACAATTTTCCCAGTAGGCAATTAACCTACAGTACCAGTATGTGTTTGGACTGTGGGAAGAAACTGGTTACTACTGATGGGAATGGAACATTAAAAAATCTGGACACATTATTAGAAGGTCCCAGTATGAACACTCCTGTAATAAGCTTGTGCAAGGTTCTTTGCTGAGCTTGCCCCAATCAGCCCAGCTGTATAACGGTAGAGCTAGAATGAGTGGTGTAAACTAAAAAGGTTATTGGAGAAAAATAAGATTCAGAAAGCTGACGGGGCTATTTGAGTGGGGGTTATGAGTAAGAAATTATTTTATCCTGTTACAGTGTCATTTGTATCAGGCCTGCTTCAACTGATAACAGATGATACTACCTCTGCAAAAAGGGGTTGTTTATAATCTAACTTCCTTAACATAAAAAACACACTGAAACTGGTTTCACAACTTATAACCTCAATGGGAGGAGAGTCTGCATAGAATGCCAACTGTGAAAATAAATTTCACTTCCTGCTTATGAGCTTGTGCATTTGAAACAGAGTGAGACATGCTGTTTTTTACTGTTTGGAAACTAAAGAAAAATCTGGTGCAACCTTATACAGCTCAAATGAGCTTTGAGAGATACCTTATGCAGAAAGAAAGCAGGACTCACAAAAAGTGCTCAGAAGCACTCTTTCTCCTTGCACGTGAAATGTATTTATTCAATGGCTGTGCCCACATTAAATAAAGTTTATTTGTTTTTAATCATCGACTGTGGTTTTCTATTGAGTAAAACTTGGCAAAAGATCTTAGAAAAAGAAAACAGATCTGCGCTAAAAGTCATTCGTGTTTTTTGGTCTTGCATTATTTACCAGCTTTAGTGCTCAGTTTTATGCAATCTGGGTGACTCACACCGGAATTTGAACATAGCTTTCAGTCACGCCTCACCATGAAACTGGTTTAATGCTTTACATCCTGGAACAGTTATAATGAGCACATGTGACAGTTTTTTTATTCATATTTATGTGATATAACCATAGTTTTGCCTGGCAAGGTTGCACAGAGGTAAGCATTGCTGCCTCAGAGCCCTGAGTTGAATTCTGGATGTTGGGTGCTATCTGTGTGGAGTTTGCATGATCTTTCAAGGGTCACATTCAGTTCTGTGCGTGTCTGCCCTGTGCGTGTCTGCCCAGTGATGGACTGGCATCCCATCCTGGGTGTATCCAGCCTTGTACCCTTTGTTTGTTGGAATAGGCTCCAGCTCCCCCATGACCCTGAACTGAAAAAAAGCAGTCAGAAAATGGGTGGATGGATTACGGAATTATGGCTGTGTTAATGTTTGTTCATAAATTGCCAAACTCTGAAAACTGCTCTGAACTGGATTCTCTTCCAAGTTCAAATTTAGTCTGTGATCCCAGTGTAATTAATGTTAATAGTTATACTGGTGTTTGCTTATTCTGTAAACATGGTCTAAGAAAATGGCGAGTAAAGGGTTTCTCATATCAGCACTCATATCAGCAGTAATAAATATTTTGTTATAAAGAGGTTTCTTATCTCAGGAAATTCTTTTAGTATCAATTCTACATACAGTACCTGGGATTATATATTATATATTTCTTGTATAGGTGTATGGACCTGGTGCTCATGTACTGAAACACATACCAGCAGTTCCTACAAGAACAGCATGAGCTGAATTAAAGCTCCAAACATTCACACCAATGTAAGGGCAATGCTGTAAGGTGATGACTTGTTCCAGACCTAGAGTCAGCATTTTTAGAATAGCTCCAAGCAAAAGTCAATGTCAGTGAACTTGAGGGAACCTCCCTGCATGAGAACCATGCTTTTACATCATTAAAAACCTGCACCTGCATGCAGGACAAGGAAGTTCCCATGAACAAATTATTCAAGTATATCAGCAGTCATAGAACAGCATGGTAATGTACACGGTATGTGTTAAAACCCAAGATTTTCCCCACAACAATAAAAATAGAATTTATTTATAATATATATAATTTATAATCTGTGATACCTTAAATTAATGGCCGTGGATTACTAATGAGCAGCAGAATGTCTCAGGAACATACTTAATTACTCTTACTTGATGAACTGACAGCAATCTCTACCGGCCCCAAATTCATAATGAACTTGGACTACTCTAAATTGTCCAGTGATATAAAGCACTGCTAATGTATTTTAAAACTTCCCTGAAAAGGTTAATATGCTTTCATGATGCTTCCTATTAAAACATCAAATTGCAATTTAGCACTCAGTTCGTCTACTCTGCTGTTTACAGCTATCGCTTTTGTTAACGGCTCCTGGAATGAGAAAATGAATGAGTCAAATGAGAATCACTACTGACACAAGCCTTGCAATTTTAAGAAGTGTAAGAAAACAAAACACTTTAACATGCATTTTGCAGACCTGCATATAGCTGTTTGGTAGATTGGCTGTTTCTAAATAAGGGGAAGTAAGTTACAGTATGTAGTATAAGGCAAACATGCACGTACATGCCATTAATTGCTGGTTTTGGAGAACCAAAATTTCTCTGCCAAGATCAGCTTTCCTAGGAGATTCTTTCAGAATGAAATAAATATATGAAAGGTGGAGAAGTCAACTTATCTGAAGAACTATGCAATGTGAAATCGTTTTGCCTTGAAGCTGAGGGCTTCAGAAAATTAATATAGCAATTTAGTGAAATGCAAAGTTTACGTAGGAATAAGAAGCAGCATCTAAGGCAAGATCTACACAGAAATGATAAATGCAAAGTGGTCTGGAATGCAGAATTACACACCACTATCTATTCATAAGTTTTGCTTTAGCAGCACGGCTGTAATTAGTCTTTCCGTCCATCCACCTCTACACTGAGTCCATTACATCTGTCAAAGACAGTTTCTGAGCTCTAGGCCTTAATGTAACACAATCACTGAAAGTTGTCCTTTTTCCTGGAGCTGAAAGTCGCTTCAAACTGGCTGTATTCCATCAGGCAGACAGCATGGGGGACAAACCTCTGTGATAATTTACTGAGAGAAATTAAAAACACGACAAGTTATGGAGCTGTGAGGCAGCGGTTCTGACAATCACTGTGCTATTCTGAACGACAGGCGACTAGCAAATAAATGGACCCTTCTTACCTTTGACCTTTCTTATAGTGTTAATGACTTAAGAGCTTTCCTGTAAATACATATGGCCTTGCTCAGCTGTCTTTACAGCAAATGTTCAGCACAATGAGCATTAATCCCCTGCACTGTTAACAACTTTGCTTCCACTCTTCCTCAGATAGTCACTAATCAGTCATCTTTCATGACCCACGGGAAGCAATAAGTTCACAAAGCTGTTGATATTTTCCTAGAACTTGCAAGTTTCTTGCCTGCATTCTGTAAGTTAATAAAAAAGAAATAAAGAGATGAGAAACCACCACTTCACTGCCCAACCACAGCACCAACATCATCTCACACAACCCTTTCTTCTGATCAAGATGAACTTTGTTACTGCTATTAGGCAAAAAATTCAAAAGCTAATGGAGACATTCAATACATGTGTAAAACATTAAATATCAGTTCATTTGAGAGATATCAGGTTGAGCCTAATCCTAGTTGTATTTAACAGTCTAAAAGGCCATAATAAATAGTGCCACATATACACATAGGCCAAAATATCAGGAACCCCCTCCAAATAATGTGATTAACCACTCTAAGCTGCATAATTTGTATAGCATCTGCATTAAGTCTACTGGGCTATGAATCATATTGCATATGACTGAGAATGTCTATTCGTTTGATCAAGTTTTCCTAATGCTTTGTTCAGTGAATGAAAACGTGTCTGTGGGTGGGCATGTGTTATCACTGTTAGGGACACAATTTTAAAAAAAGTCCTGACAAAGATGGTAACATCTGACAAACTGAAATTAAGGGGACACTCCTTAATAATTTATATATCCTTTTTTAACTAAATTACATCTTTTAAATCACAAATTCCCAAAATGTCTGCTTATGGTCTATTTTTCCCCTTGGAGAGTTTCATGTAAGTGGAAGTTGTAATAGTAAACAAGAGATTGAGAATCAATGGTGAAATCCCATGCTTTGATCTGCATGATGAACTATTAACTATTGTACCTTTGACACATCCTGTAAAATAAATGGGAATGTTGATAGGCAGGTCCAGGTGAACCTACAGTAAACCCACAGGAACAAGATAAGATCATGCAGATAGCACCCCAGGAACTGAACCTAGGGTCCCAGCACTGGCTGCAAATGCTAACCACTGCTCCACCATGCTACCTCTTTGTGCTTCTCATCCCTCTAAATGCTACAAAGCTGCACTACAATTTGTAAAGTGGATTTAAAACAGTTGTGCAAGAGTAGTCAGAGAGCAATGAGACATTGGTTGCTCAGTCAGTGGCACTTACCAGACCAAGATGTCCAAGGAACCAATTGCGTTTGGTTGGCTGAGCAAAACACTTTACCCGCTGGGCATTGCGGGCATAGTGCCACAGGAAACGGGCAAACCTCAGCAAGGCCTTGAACAAAAGAGTGCCAATCAGGAGGAGGAAGACACTAAGCAGGAGTGCCCGTGGGGAGGTGGTACTGGAGAGGAGGCTGCCCCATTTGTGCTCCAGAAAAGACAGCATCCTATGAACATAAGGACATAAAAAGGTTACAAAGAAGAGGGTGCCATTTTGCCCATCTAAGTCATTTACTAGTTTACATATTGATTCAAGGATCAATCAGGAAGAAAGATAGCCAGTGAAAGGGATAAGCAGCATTTCCTTCTAAATCCTCCCATGTTCCTTCTAAAACCTTCCTCCCATCTAAACCCTCCCATTCAAAGAGGAGAGTTTGCAGTTGATATCTCAAAATTTTCCACTGCGTTCTCCTGAGATTGTGCATAAAACTTTGTTTGGTTTTGTATATTTGGTAACAGAAGGGAAACTTTGCATTTGATAGCAAAATCCAGCTTAGGAAAATTGTAAAGGAGCTAACAGGAACTAGAACAAGAAAAAATATTTGGAAAAATAGATATTGGAAAAGTAGTGATGAATTCTACTATAAATCAGAAAGCTTAGTAATTAATCTTGTCTTTGATGCCTGTGGATGTAAATACATATTCACTGATTCAGCAACACATAGAATGTGTTATGAATATTAACATTTTGTTTAAAGAAAGTGCTACAGGAGAAAGAACTGTCTTAATTTTCCTATCCATTACAGGTGAAGTCAACAGTCACAGACAGTTGTTTCAAACTTATTAGGGTTTATCACTATGACACTATCACTATGAACTAACTTTGACTAGTGAGTGAGCTATAAGACAGTTCAGTCTCCTGTAACACTGGGATTGTATGAAATGCTGTTAAATATTCATATTCATAGTTCTCTTTTCAGGGTGTCAGGGTGAAACAGCTGTCCATGACTGCAACCTTTGACTTACTCTATATCAAAAAGGCAGAATGAGAAGTCATAGGACAATGCCATGCCATCTCCTGCAGAATTCTGATTGGATGAGGATTTAACCAATAGTCACACCCACAATGCATTGTGATTGCTGCTTTTAAGTTCCATACTAACCTATAATGGTGCTTATTGACAGATGCTTGGATGGATGACTGGCAGCGTTTTGTTTCTGTAAAAAAAATATCTTCATTATCATCATCATTTTCTAACATCTGACTCCTGGTGAGGGTCACAGTGGAAAGAGCCTGAGCAGAACACGCCAGAATTCCCTTTGCCCAGCAACAGTATCCTCATGGGAGATTCCCAGGTGATCCCAAGCCAATCAAGTCATATAATCCCTCCAGCATGTCCTGGGTCTGCCCTGAGATCTTTTCCCAGTGGCCTAGTACACCTAAAGCTGGAGGTGTGCAGGGGTCACTCTCACCCGATGCCTGAGCTAATTTAACTGGCTCCACTCAATCCTCCTGGATTGCTGAGTTCCTCTCCATGTCAAGAAAACCCAGCAACCCTACAGAGAAACCTTATTTCCACAACTTGCACCCAAAGTCTCATTCTTTCAGACAGGGACATAGATCAACTGGAAAACCAAGTGTTTTGTCTGAAAACTCAGCTCCCACTGCACACTCATTGTTCAGTACAGTGGCTGCAATAATTCCTTAAACATTTCTGCTGTATTGTAAAACAGTAGTTCTGTAATTTTAAAAAAATCCCCTTTGTTCTTGATAAGTTTTCTAGATCGTCTAATATTGCAGATAAACCAGCAAAACAGCTCAGCATAATTCAACACTACATTTTCAGGTCTTTTTAGACACATGGTTGTTGTTACATTAGAACAAGCATGTTTATTTTTATTTGGACAGACTTTAACAGCTTTTTACAGACACCAGATAGCAGAGGAAGTGCTGACTGGAGGAAGAAGAAGTTTTGGCTCATACTAAACCTTTCGTTTTCCCTGGGGGTGCTGTGTAAATTCTGTGCCATCTAGCCTCAGGATAACCAAACACTTTGAAACAGGATGTGAAGCAAATTGGCTAATACCTTTTCAAAACCGACATTGTTTCTTAACTATAACCAGGTGCCATAAAAAACCACAAGGTATTTTGCATTTCTATTTTTAAACATTTCCTTCTTTAAAAAAATAGCAGTTACTCATATTGACTTATTGTATTCTTGTAACCAATGTGTCTCCCCAATCGTCATATAATGTTTCTAATAGAATACAATTTATCTTCTATTGGACTTTAAAAAATGTTAAAAGTCTTTCCCATTTTTTGTATAAATTATGATTCAGTTCAACAGTAAAAATTGAACCTATATGAAAGTAGCCATTTATTAAAGAAGGCAGATTGCCACCTCAGAAAATTCTGTAGAAGGGGTTAGAAAATAGAAAATTCATATTACTTTGTCAGAATGTAGATTGCACTATGCATGTCATTTCAGAGGATGTTAATGGACTAAGATCTTTCTATTGGTATCAAATCAATGTATAAATAACTTCTCACAGAGACTTCAGCAGCAACAAAGCACTATACTAGAAAAGAAGACAAAAACCTATCAAATCCATACATGGAAAATGCTTTTAAGTATTTGGTCATTTGATTTTCTTTTTGCATTTGCATTTTGGTACAGTAAGTGCATATAAAATGCACTTAATTATTATTTTTAAATTTTCTCATAGCAGAACAGCAGGAGCCAGCTGGGTCTTAAAGGTATGCTCTGATACTTGCACTGGTCTCTATTTCTGTTTTTTTTTTTCAATCTCTGCATCTGATGACAATTTTTTATTCTAGTTTACAAGGTGGCTTGTAGTTAATCATGAAACCCAATAATTTTGCCTTTGCTAGATTAAGCTCTACATTTATATTTTTTTACTTTATCTTTTCACAGTGTTGACAAATATTTCAGAGCAATTAGAAGATGAACAGTATGGTAACTTCCAGCTGACCATGTATTGTCATGCTCACCCTCTCTAGAACACTGTAGAGTAGGCTAGCACTACTGTGGCAGCCAGGCCACACCTCTACTCAGCTTTTTGTCAGGGCTGGTTGCAGAGGATTCAGACAGGAAGCCTGTTTGACCTGTGGGTAATCAGTACCTCCACTGTCTCAGGTGAAGCAGGCTACTTAAAGTCTGATCTAGCAGTGCTTGTGGTATAGATTATGCTTTGACCCTAGCTTTGTACCCCAGTTCATGAGTTCCTACATTCCCAAATTCTCGAGGTCTCAAGTTCCTGAGCTCCCAAATTCCTGTGTTCCCATGTTCCTCCGTGTCTCACCCTGGATTCCTCACTTTGCCCTGACCATGTCTCCTGGATTCTCCCTGGTATTGCACTGCGTCCAACAGGATAACTAACTTTGCTTGCTTGTCTTGACCTTGATTACGGATTTCTCTTTGTGTCTTTGTGTCTACACAGCTTTGAAGCTTGTTTTGATTGATGACTGTGTTTGCCTGCTGCACACACCATGCTGCCTACTCTGTCCTGTTCTGTCCTGCTTGCACTCCCTCGTGCTTGCCTGGCTCCCTGCCTGCTCTTGGATTCACCTTATAAACTTAGGACAGCTGCTTTCCTCCATCTTAAACAGTGGACAGTACTCTTATTTCCTGTTTCTAAAGACTTCACTTTAAACCAGAATAACTGAAATGAGCTGCAGGAAGTAGAAACATCCTTCCACTTTAGAAGCATTGCCACACTGCAGTGCCTTTCCGTCTCTAGGTAACAGACTTCAGCTTGCGTGTATGAGGGTGCGCTTTTGTGCCATGATGTGGACTGGACTGGGAGCCTGACCTAAAGGCTGGATTAAAAAATTTTTTTAACTAAATGCAAAGTCCAAACGCAGTAGATGCAAAAAATCCATGAGAAACAAATTGAAATTTATTTATTTTTTCATTTTTAGCTATCCCGGAAACTACTAGCTTGATCATTCACTAGACAGACATACAATGAATCATTAGCTAATAAATATAAAAGCATGGAAAAGCCTACAAACTAAATGCAGAAATTCAAATCCTCCAGTTTATTTGGCTACTAGCGGCTTAATCTACCTAACCCTTTCCCTAGTGATACCAAGCACTGGTACAATCACATGATCTGGGAATTGGTTCTAGACTCCCACAATCTCTTTTCATAATTCTGAAAGGAAAGGTAGTTTTATACTGTAGCTGTATCAAGTTCCCACAATCTTCTCAGTTACAGTCTGTTACAATACTTCCTCTAGTGCAGTAAAATGTTTCTTGCAGCATTTTGACCAAAACTGTACACATAGTTCTAAATGACTTGTGTTTACTTATGCATTTTTCACACATTATGTATTCAATCTATTACTTTTGAGTTTTCTCTCATTCTCTTAAGATCTAACTAACCACACTTTGAAACAAATCATTTAAATTCACCCTGTCTTGTCATTAAAAGTGATCATGTCATGGTCAATTTCGCAATTTTTGTCTAATTTCTTCTTTTCTTACTCGAGTTGTAAAGATTAGATCGCTATCCCTTTTAGCAAGCACTGCTATGACCCTAAGCACAAAAACAATGATTCACCATCTCTAACATTTCAATTTCAGCATACATACATCCAATTGGCCAATTAACAGTATTTGTGGAAAATTTTGTTTGTGGGAAAACCCCCAAATAATAATAATAATAAAAACGTTATTGTATATAGCGCCTTTAAAGGTGGCTTCTCAAAGCGCTTTACAGACAACAACAATAAATAAAAAGAATACACAAGATAAAACACAATTACAATATATTGTATAGGACAATATATAGGACTGTGGATGGTGGTACTAAGAAAAGCAGAGGGGTAAAGAATGGAACCAGTTTAGTAAAGGCTTTTCTAAAGAAGAAGGTTTTGAGTCTGGATTTGAAGGAGTTTAGAGAAGGTGACTCTCTGATATTCTTGGGGAGAGAGTTTCAGAGCTTTGGGGCATAACAGGAGAAGACCCTGTCACCCATACAATGTAGATGAGCTTGGAGGACACACCAGAATTAGAAGAGCGAAGGTTGCGAGGTGGGAAGTAGGGTGATAATAGTTCAGACAGGTACTGAGGTGCCAAGCCATGCAGAGCCTTATAGGTGAGCATGAGGATGTTAAAGTCTACACGGAATTTGACCAGAAGCCAGTGCAAAGACTCCAGGATAGGAGTACTGTGGTCATTTGCACTAGACCTGGTCGGGATTCTGGATGCTGAATTTTGGACATACAGTACTGCAGTTTGTTTAAAGTAGATTTAGATACCCCAGTGAGTAGAGCATTAAAGTAGTCAATTCAAGAGAACACAAATGTGTTGATCAGCTTTTCAGCCACAGTTAGTGATAGCATAGGGAGTAGTCTAACGATATTTCTGAGGTGAAAAAAGATGTTTTGACAATATGCTGCACATGTGGGTCGAATGTTAAGCCAGAATCGAATATAACCCCAAGGTTTTTCAATTTAGATTGAAGCTCAAGTACAGAACCATCTACAGATAGGGTTACAGGACTGGCTTTACGAAGTTGATGGGGGGTGCCAAAAAGCATGACTTCAGTTTTGCCGCACTTTAACATGATCTCTTCCATGTGATATACAAATCCCTTTTACCGTATCACAAAGCATCATTATAAAAGTCTGTCATAACCACCAGTTCTTCTAAAAGTAACACCATGTAAATCAATGTTAAAATGAAATACATTGTGATGCATTTGATGAATGTTATAATATAGCTGCTGTCCCTAGGTTGCTCTGAATGATTTTTATGGCTTATGGCTTATGTGAGTTTATAGTCTGAAGACCAAATAACACCAACATGATATTTGAAAAAACCCTTTTGTTATTAGGTACTGTATATATATAAAAAAAAACTAAAGGGAATAATTGGAATTGGTATTTTATTTTTTTTCTAAACTCTCATGTAGTCATTGCTTGGGAAATGTAAAACAAAAATAAAGATACAACATTACAATCGACAACATTGCTTGTGCTGTAACACCGGTTTCTTCCAACCCAGGTCTGTCAGACATTTCCTGGAAGGTGTACTATCATCTTATTCTTGTTCTAACCTACTGTAAGTAGTCTATTAAACAATTAAATTAATTGTTTGCTTAAATGTCTATGGGAGTTTTCTTAATTTCTTTAATTATATAAATGCTTTGAGTAATAACCTGTAAAAACTGTTTAGATGTTTTATAATTATGTATTTAATTTACAAATTAAATGTGAGCACTCAAAAATCAGAAGCTACTAGACTAGAGGTCTCCAACTCCAGTATGGCAGATTTTCTAAAGACCTGGAACTATTTGACCATGATCAGTTAAACAGGTGGTGTGTTCAATCAACAAATTTAGTCCACCCATCCATTTTCTAACCACTTCTTCCAGTTCAAGCTCATTGAAGAGCTGGGGCTGGCTAGCAATGGGTACAAGTCAGACTGCACCCTGGATAGGATGCCACTCTTTGCAGGGCACAGACACAAATACACACACCAGGGCCAATTTTCCCAGAAGCCAATTTGCCTAGCACTATGTCTTTCGACTATGGGAGGAAGCTGGAGCATTCAGTGAAAATGCACACAGACAATGGGAGAACATACAAACTCCACACAGATAACACCCCAGGACAGGCATTGAACCCAGGGCCCCAGCGTTAAGAGGCAGCAATGCTAACTACTGTGACCCTTGCCATCTAACTAGGAAATCATTTGGAACAGAAATCAGACTGCTCATTTTTAATAATAGGTGATTTGAGGTGAACTGTAGGTTTGGAGATAGGCTGCACTACGCTTTCCAGGAAGTGTATTTATATCCTACAACAAGTGCCTACTTAATTGATTCTACAGAATCCCAGGCAATCAGGAGCTATAGGCAGATAAACTGTAGTATTGAATCACCCATGTATAAAAAATAACATGGAACAGTTTAACTGTGATCATTTAAACAGGTGATGCAACTAATAATTTATAACACATTCAGAACAAAGAAAGGACCTGACTTTGTTTGATTTGACCAGCGCTTATCTTATTTGATCAATAATTTGCAAGAGTTCTTAAATTCTTTAAAAAATATCTTATTCATGAATATACAGTATCAGTGCAGAATTATTAGGTTGTGGATCTCCAGGACCAAGGTTGGAGATCCCTGTGTTACAGAAACAAATGCAGCCACTTAAACAATTGTGTTACTTCCTCCTTCCCTAATGTAACTTGACATGTCTCTTGCCTTTTAAATTTTCCTCACCTGTGCACTGAGCTAGACTTGATTACACTGATGTTGAGTCTCCCTATCCCCCCACTATATCACCTTCTCTGTTTATTGAACTTGATTTGCGGTTGTCATTTCCACACCGGTTCCTAACTATAATTTGAAAGATAAAACCATCCAAAACTCAACATGAAGAATTATATACCAATGTATTTTTTCCTATTTATTTGTTGAATTTGTTTTTCAAATTTGCCATTTAAACTAGAAGAACAATTTCCTAACAACAACTAAAATACAGTTTAGAGGAAAATTCAGGAAATGACCAACTACAAGGAAAAAGATTCTGCCACCTTACTGAATGACGACCCCAGTCTCCAAGATAAACTTAACCAGTTTTATGCTCGCTTTGAAAAACCTGATGTGAAGGCTTCCTCATTACCTTAACTGTCGCCTACCCCTCTGCCTCCTCCATTTTCTATCCATACTGATGAAGTAAGAGCAATCTTCACAAAACCAAATAAAAGAAAAGCCACAGGCCCAGACAATTTGTTAGCTGCAGCCCTCGGGGATTGTACTGATCAACTGGCTCCTGTGTTTACCAACATTTATAATATTTAACTTTTTCAACTAAAAGTCCCTCATGGTTTTAAAATATGTAATATACTGTAATACCTAAATCTCCAAAAATATCTTGCCTCAACGATTACAGACCAGTTGCTCTGACTTCGGTGGCTATGAAAGCCTTTGAGTGTTTAGTATTTAAGCACCTCAAGCACTTCACATTTCTCCTGCTGGATCCTCACCAGTTTGCCTACAGGGCCAACAGGTCTGTTGAAGATGCCATTAACCTGACTCTCCATTGTATACTCCAGCATTAGGAGAAGCCGAATTCCTATGCCTTCATCCTTTTATTGGATTTCAGCTTAGCATTTAATACCATTAATCCACATAAATTATTCAGTAAACTGATGGACTTGAACATCAACCCTGCTATGTGTCATTGAATGTTTTACTTTTAAACTCATTACAAACAGACTGTCAAGGTGAATAACAGGACATCTTGCCCTCTGCCTCTCAGCATAGGTGCTCCCCAAGGCTGTGTCCTATCCCCATGGCTCTTTTCCCTTTTCACAAACAACCTCACATCTTGGGATGACTCTGTCAAGATTTTCAAATATGCAGATGACACTGCCATTGTTGGTCTCATCTCGAATAATGATGAGACTTGATACTGAAAGCAGATTGATTTGGGAACAGCCTGGTGTTTGGACAACGATCTCCTACTCAACATTTCTAAAACCAAGGAAATCACCATTGCCTTCTGACACATCCAGAACAGGAAACTTTCAATTTTCATTAAAGACTTTCCTATAGACACCATAAACTCATTTAAATTTCTGGGTACATACATAAACAGTGTTCTTAAATGGAGCACCAACACTGACCACATAGTCAAGAAAGCACAGCAGAGGATGTATTTTGTTAGGCAACTCAAAAAATACAGTGAACCGGCAACTTCTTCTTCAATTCTACACAGCCAAAACCCAAAGTGTTCTGACAACCTCTATTACAGTTTGGTAAGGGAGCTTGGATAACTACTCAAAAGGCAAACTGGAAATGATTGTGTCCAAAGCCGGAAAAAAATGTTGGCTGTGAACTCCCTTCCATTTCATCTCTCTACTCAAGTTGCACCTCCAATCATGTAAAATGTTGTTTACATTTGTAAGTGACGATGTTTTTCTTCTGTCCTATTTCAATTTTTACTGTATATGTTGTATTTATGTTTCATCTAAGTTCTTGCTGTCCAGAAAGCAAATTCCAACAACTATTGTTGTGTGGCAATAAAGAATAAAGAATAAAACAGCCTATCGCAATCTCTATCCGATTAAAGACGTCCCCAATTGCTGCACATGATAAGTATTGCTTTAGGGTAAGAAATTAAAATTATATAATATCCACATATCGTAAATCTTAAACTTTGCCTTGATAGAGTAATCATCCACAGAACCAGTAGGTGTTACGGTATTTTCATGAGTAAACGAATAATATAGCACAATGTGCCATAGCTTTTTAGAAAGCGATTAATGTAAAACATTTTAACAACCGTTCAAGGCAGACTGATCAGGAAAGTGTTTTCGTTTTCTAGGTAAAAGACGGAGTTAGAATCCTTACCTGCGTTTGCCTATCGACTGGTGATTCTGTGCAGACTAGCTTTCGAAATATAAGAGTGAATGGTGGCTGTGGCTATTTGTACACCACGTAAATTCTCCACCTCCTGTGTTGTGACTGAAAAGACACAGCGACTTCACGTAGCTTTTACATTAATGTTGCCATCGCAGTCATAACCTGAACTTACCACGCTGCATTAAAGCTTTGGTAAATAATTAATCAAATACAACAGGAACAGTCCGGTATTGATTATATGATTTACGTCAAAAACTCTTATAACACGGGTCCCGTATTTAAAACGCTACTTGGTGATTTCCTTGTGACATCTAGAAACGGCTGCATTGGGGCTCTCCATAACCACGGTTGTAGACCTCCGCACTAGGTCATGCCATTGAGCCTGGAATATCTTTCTTCCCAATTTCTTCCGTTTTCTCAGTGACGCGGTGATTCCTTAACAGGTAGTGGCACTGTATCCAGGTGTCAAAGAGTATCCAGCTCTGCTCTGCCCAAATGCGCTCCTGTAACTTTCGAGTTCAGTCTCCTATTTACACAAACAGAAATTATGACAGACCTGACTTCCAACTTTCGGTATAACTTTATTTCTACCCCGTAAAAGTTAGCTTAATGGGGTGATGAACTTTGGACTCCTTAACACTTGAGAATGGTATAAACATCTAGACTCGTGTTATGACTCCCCCCGATGATCCCCTGTGCAGCGACCTGCTGACAAAAATAGGCTGCTTTTCTCCATCTCCTATTGGATTTAAAATACGAGGAAAAATCGTTAACAATATAGTGGATAATTATTTATAGGGCAGTTTGTTAAGCTTCTTATACACGTCGCGATTTAAAAAAAAGACGGTATATAAAACGCACAGGACTCTGAGAATTACTATCTCGAAAACCTGAAAAAATCATGAAACTTGAAAAAATCGTGTAAATCAGATGAGCTATTTTAACGTAACCCGCTCTATCCTAAAACGCAGTCTTGTTCTTTACTGCGCACAATTTTGTTAGGTGAATTTTTTCTGGTTAAATGCTTCCGCTTTGTGGTGATTAGCTGAACTGCAACGGGAGCGTTCTGTACACAGCGGATGAACAAGAACTGCTTTTTTAGTGACATAGCCACTACTGATAATAGTCACAAGAACGTGTGATTCGGACAGATGTGAAAATATTAAGCAAACTGTGGTTTAGATCAATTACTCGCGTCTGCTGGAAATTATACAGTGTTTACGTTGACGATTGGAATCTTCCCTTTTACAATCTCTAGCATAAAAATACAATTCTTGAGGTTGTGTGTGTATACCGTATATATTGTTCAGATCGAGCAAATTGAACATTTCCTTCCAAAGAATACATTTTTCATACTTCTTCCTCCAAACAACCTCCATTCATGCTACAGTAGGTCTTACAAAGCCAGTATGCTTTTTTATGCTTAAGCTTCGTTCACTTCTTCGTGATTCTGGTGTCCCTTCACACCTACTGTCACTCACTATTGGATCTATTTAAAATCCATACATGTATCTTCTAAGCGCTTCTTCCAATTGAGTGTCACGGGGGACCTGGAGCCTATCGCGGCAAGCATGGTACGCGGGACAGGATTCACCCTGGCCGGGACACCAGTCCATCAGGACAGACGGTCGTGCTGCACCAACGCGGTAAAGACCGGGGTAAAGTTAGCTTGAAGTTCGAAAACGATTTTGGCACGCCTGTAGCGCTTTCTCGAAAATTCTTAGAGTTACAAAAACACTTGCTTTGTGCATAAAATACATTGTGAATGCTTTCTCAGCCTTCACTTTGTCGTTTTTATGACATTTTCTTGACCACGCTCGAATATTCTTTTGTCCATATCTTCGCAATGGAAGCACAGAACGCCTTCAAACCAAATGCATTTTAAAGACCACGACT